ATATATAATTTTTTTTTTTTTTTGTAGGCCAGTCATTTTTGACCAAGAACACCACAAGTGTATCATGGTGGGGAAAGGTACAAAAATTATCAAAACTTTGGAAAATGAAAATTCCTCTCTAGGTCAAAATGACCAAAACACAACATTAAGTCTGTGGTTATTTTCCATTTACAATACCAATCAATAAATAGTCCAAAATTTATTTTCCTTTATTTGTTCTAAAAATAGCAACATATTAGATCAAGTTAAATGCCAAGGACTACAAAATGTTCCACTGAGAAATTGGATTTGGAATTTGGAAATTGGAGAGTCTTTGTATTCAAACCAGTCATAAGCTGAAGGCCAGAAACATCCTTATCAGCCGCACATACACACACTTACGCACAGTCTGCAATATTGACAAAGCAGAGAGATTACGAAATTATTACAGCATTGGACACGTTCACTGTGTCAAGTGATTATAAATAGCGGATCCTGCCAAGCACGTAATCCACACATGGCGAGTCATATTGACGTTTGTTGTCCTCTGGGGCTCGAGCATCTGGCCACAGGAATGGAGCATGACTGGAAGAGAGATTGAGGTACTTTCATCAGTGACCAATTCAACCGCCTTCGTCAAGATGTTATAAGTGGCACATCGACATCCTGTCACCTAATGGCCTGCCGAGTATCTTTTTGCATGAGATGTTTTTGATAACTCTGTTCAGAGGCGCTGATGGTTGTACAGAAAACGGATTCAGGGAAAGTCACAACACAGGTTTGATCCCACAAACATGCTGCGGATTGTCTTAGATGTCGTCTTGGGTTTTCTTCACCGCAAATAGATGATTACACGCTATAAACAAGTGAAATGTACAGGTCACCCTGTCATTTTGGTTTTTAACACCCTGTAAATAAACCACTCATGACATTAAATGTCATCACATAGGCAAGGTTTTCTTTCTGAACTCTCAAAAGGTCCGTTTTTACTTGAAATTCAGCCAAGTGTTTTAAAAGGTTGGAGAAATCCGTTATCGGTCATGGATGCATGAATCTGCTTCCCCTGTTACTAAGTATAAAAGCTTAAATGCCCAGAGAGTAGCTCTAGTGGGGCTGTAATCCATTCTCCACCATGCTGCTTTGCTCTTCATACCCATAATCCAATCTAGCCCTCTACCACTGAGCCACAGACTAACCCGTAATCCAGTTTACAAACTACCAAAATAAAGAAAAAAGAAAGCATGTTGCCTTCTTCCTGAAACCCACACCACGCTGACAGAACGGAAATAGTCAATCAGCATGAGAGATTCTTCTCATTCCACTTTCAATCTTTTATTGCCTAATGGGCTTATCAATTTTCAAACCATCAAGCTAATTGCTCCAGTTTCAACCACAAAGCCCAAGGTGATACAGTGGATAGTGGTTTGAATGATTGTTTAACCAATTTTAGTTGCTCGTCTTAATGAGGGATTTGAAAGTAATTTACATTATTTAAGGGCCAGAATGTGTGTGTGTGTGTGTGTGCGTCTCTCCTGTAAGTCCATTATTAAGATCACTGTTACTCAACTCATTTAAATTAGCAATTAGCAATTCACTTGAATGTATCCAGTAACTCTAACACCATTTGAACTACAAGCTGTAGGTCACTGTTCGAACAGGATTCGCATTTTTTAAAAATATATTATTAGAGTTATATGAATTCCTTACAATTTGATGCATTTTAATTCTTCTTAACTGGCATCTTGTTTGCTACCTCAATTCAAATTAGAATTTTAAAGTCAGTCTCAATTCAACACTGGCGAACAACTGTGCAAGACACTGACTTTTTATTAAAAGCTTGTATAGATAAAACTTGCTGATTACAAGAGTTGACAGAACATATTGATGTTTTTTAATTAGCTACGCTTTCAGATGTATTTTTGTAGTAACACACATATTCATCTGATACATTTAGATTTTGTTTCATGCAAAAAAAAAAAAAAAAATCTAATATCACAAATGAGATGGTTTCACAGCAGGGGTACTGCAGTGAACAGATATGAGAAGCATCTGCAATGTAAAATACAGCTTTTTATTTCACTACATCCCTCCCATATTAGATATTAGATCAGAGTTTATATGAGAAGCAGGGCAGTTACTAGGGGCGGGAGAAAAAAAATCGATTCTCTGATGCATCGCGATTCTCTCTTCAGCAATTCTGAATCGATTCTAAATATTTTAGAATCTATTCTGAGCTTGGTTTTTTCCCCGCATATGGCGCGTATGCGCTAGAGACAATCGTGGTGGGCTTCATTGTACAGGATATGCGCTGTGAGACATGTGCGCATTGCTTGACAGTGTGTGCTTCCACACGCCGTTATTTCAGTTTTTTATTTTAGATGTGCTTTCATTGATGCCTTTTGGAATGCAGTAAGTATTAGACGCACGAAACTCACGTACTGACAGACTTTCACGTGCGCTTTTGTGTTTGTTTGTCCTGAAGCACTTGCATCTCCGAATACTTTTATGACACCAAATTGATGTAAACACAGTCAGTTATGTTTTCAGAACAGGACAAAACAGCTGATATGTCGAAATAGATCTGTGCATTAGTGTGAATGCAGCCTATTAAATCTGCCACTGTCTATGATGTCATCAGTAATAATCAAACAGAAATAATGCTGAGGAAAAAAAGAAAAACCATAACTATGACTGTCTGTACTGACTGTCTGTATCTAATCGAATCGTGAAACCAGTGAAGATTCACACCCCTAGTAGTTACTGTGTAACATGATGTTCTTTCATAAAGTATATAGTAAATGTTATAAATATGTCACAGACATGTCGGCGTTGTGTCAGATTGAGTACAGTGTGCACTACACATGTTCATGGACACAACCACCTCTAGATACAGTACACAAGTGTGATTTCACAGTACACAATTCATAATGTGATGCTATCATGTCTCGCTGCAGAGGATCCCAAGGGTTTGAAGACTCTTTGGGTTAATTACCCTATTGAGTTGCCAGGTTGAGATGTTACCATGTTTGGAACCTCTTTTTTGCCCCTTCATTTCACATCCTCTCCCAACTATCACTTGCAATAGGAGCAGCTAAAATACTAATAAACACAAACTCATTTACAGAAGGTTTCGATAAGATATTGACTATATGCAGCAGACAGTAGTCACAGGAACTTGGCTAATTTCTTATGTGGAGGTAGACATCCATTAGTCTGCTCTCTGCCAGCCGGAAGTAGGATCAATGTAACGACACACAACAGAGGGAATAGCAATTACAAAGACAATTCCACGCTGAGCTGGAAGGGCTCCAGCAATACCCAGTAGTCTCTTGGACATTTCATGCTGGCACAACATGATGAATGAAGTGGAATTGATGTGAATAAGAAATAGATTTGAGAAAGAGACATTTTAATTGAAACTGAGTGCATGCACAATTAACGAGTTATTGTTTAGTCAATTCTCACACTCAAAGCATTTTACAGAGTGGGTCAGGATAATCAATGTGTTATGTACTGTTTTTATAAGAATTCTGTTTTGATAAATTATATTATATAAGAATCCCATTACGAGACCCACATGTGCTGTGAAGAACAACTTTCTATTGGTTGCTTTCATTAAGGACCTCTCAGATGAACTGTCAACTATGGCTGAAGTAAATTTTAAGATTAAAAGAATGTCTCCCCAGTGGTTGGAAAGCTCGAAATATACACATACATACATATACATATATATATATATATATATAT